ACGCTGGAGGGACTATGTCTCTTGGCTGGCCTGGGAACGCCTTGGCATTCCCCCGGAGGAGCTGGAGGAAGTGTCTGGAGAGAGGGAAGTCTGGGCATCTTTGCTTAGACTGCTGCCCCCGCGACCCGGTCCCAGATAAGCGGAGGAAAATGGATGGATGGATGTTTGAAACAGGAGTGTGTGCAGAAATATGTGCTCAAGGTTACATGGAATCTTAACCTTAAACTGAATTTAACAGTATTAACATGTCCCAGACTGGTAATTATAGTAAAGCCCATGTGTCAATAAACCCAATAAATCCAAATAAATGACAAGCAGTGGTCAAAACCAACAACTTTAAATAGCTTTAGACTTTTTGAACTTCTCGTGCCAGATGTGTTACTGATAGTTGAGTGAAACATGATGTCCATGTGGAGAGTCAGTGAACCTCACTGCTTCGACACAGGCAAAAGATTTCATTTTAAAGATGTCAAAATTTCTGCAAATTTGACAGAGTGGAAAAAACCTGCGCAATCCCAGTGACGGGGGAGCAGACGGAGGTTTTAGTAGCCCCTTCCTCTTGGACAATGTGCCCCACATCCCTTAAATCTCATGAATAACCGACATGATGGAGGACTCGTGGAGGTTTGAAAATCTATACCTAGATCCATGCTCTTGGATTTGCGTGTCTTGATGATCTCGAGCTGTGCGGCGTCTCCAAACTGCTTGGTGCGTTTCTCTGACATGCTCTGCCGTCCGAAACCTTCCCGCTGGAAAATACCATCTGGATGATTTTCATCTGGACTCAGGGAGCTGGATGGATGGTGTGAAAGACAGGGATATTAGAAAATCTCAAATAAAATGTATTAATCACACACAGGGAAATTGAAGTGTTAAAGCAACAAAAGAAAGCACAAATAAAAATTATAAAATACAGTATATAGATAGGTGACATACAGACAGCGGTAATACAGGAACAAAATAAAAAAAAAAACGAGTTACTAACGTGACACAGAGACGGAGCTGACAGAGGAGCAAAAGTGAAAAATATTGAAAGAAGTCACAGGATTCAAAGAAGGAAAACAGTCAACAGGAGATGGACGGACATCTAGGAAAGGTTTAGGAGGGTGGAGCAATGAGGGGATGAGGCAAGAAAGAAGTTGGATGGAAGGACAGTATGAGGGTGAATAAGGGAAGATTGTTAAAAGAGGAATCAGATACAATAAAGTAGCAATCAGGGAAACAACAAAAAGAAAAACAAATGAATTAAATTAAAATGAGCTTGTGGAAAGAGAGACAGAAAGGAAGGAGGAGCAAATGACAGCCAGGCCCAAAATGCTGTAAACAGAAAGACAAGAGAGAAACCGAGGGATTGTATAGCAAGACTCATCAGAGAGCTGAAGGAATAATCAGGAAAGAACACAGACTGAATCCTCAGCTGATTGAGGAAAAAAAAAGTAAACTATTTGATCCCTGTGCTATACATTCATTTGTTGAATTCCCTGACACTGAGACGCAAACACACACAGTGAATAATAACAAGACAGGTCCTCATCAGCGCTGTGTCCTTCACATCTGGCTGAGAGGCCAGTACGGGAGAGGCCTGCCCCAGTGGGCGAGCAACCAAGAGAAAGGACGTGCACGCTACAGGAGATGCAACGACCTTGTGCACTTGACAAGCTTTCAGACGGTGAAATATGAACAAATAAATAGATGTACGATGCAGGAATTTTGAGTTTAAGATGCAACTTGAGGAAAAAGCCAAGAAAGCTGTGTGTTAAAGTAAAATGTGCAGTGAGATAGATACAGAGACCTTAAACTACCAAGAACAAGTCTTGAATTCAAGTTAAATGTTTGCATTGGACAAGCTGGAGGTGAAGGAAATCTCATGAAAACACCAAACTCAAGTTTAGCCTACGTTTCATTCTGGATGGGCAGCTCTTTGGCCCACGGCGGCGTCATGTCAGCGGTGAAGCCCACATCATCATGGGAGCTGGACGACGACTGGTCAGAGAGGTGGGGTGGGAGGAGCGGCGGCCGGTCATCCTCTATGATCACAGTGTCGTCCTGCGGCATGTTGACAGTCGGCGAGAGCTGATAGTTACCTGGAGGAGACAGGTGGTTTCTTTTTACTCTTTTAGTTTAGTCTCAGTTGTATCTGTGAATTATCCATCATGCAAGCAGACGAACTAGGTGTCTCAACAGTGACTGAAGGGATAAGAATGTGGTAAAATAAGACTGTGGTCTGACAAAATAAAACTCAGTTCTTTCATTTCTGAAGAGAATATTAGAAAAATAACATGTAAAAACTAAGAGAAAGCTGGTTTGTGTTCTCTGCACAAAACTCAGCAATACATTTATTTGTGATACAAACAACAGCGATATCAAGTGTGAGGCTGAAGTTACAGTTTAATGGATGAACTACAGAAAAACAAGGGTGACTTTTAAAAACACAAGCCAGATTTTGAAGTTTAAACCCAGAGCGAAACTGCTCCTGGCTAATCAGCTAAGACCTAGTGGAGTTTGGCAGAGAACACAATGCTGTTCCTATGTCAAAACACTACGATTAATTCAAGCTGTGCCCTCACAAATAAAGATAAAACTTGCCTGTACTGAGGGCAAAAAAATAAAATGGTCCCTTTCTCTGCCTCTGAAAAACAAGGCTTCAAAACTCCCATTGATATGTAACACATGACTTTTTCTTTAATCTGTATTTTGAAATTGGGAGCAGGGGGTTTCTTGGCATAAAAAGAAGAGGAGCGTCAATGGTTCATAAAAGCCTTGTGTACTGAGCTCAGGGAGAAGTTTGTTTGTCCCCAGAACGTGTTTGGGCTTTAAAGCTGGAAACCTGGAGGTGTGAGCCAGACCCTTTGTTTCTCATAACTGAGCGGTGAGGGGATCAATGAGCTACTGGCTGCTGCTGCGTCCAGCCAGCGTGGGTGAACGACCTGATGTAAATGCAGACTAATGGAGAAAAAAGGAGACGCTGGGTGGTGTGAAAGTGTAAGAGTGTGTGTGCATGTTCAAAAGGTCATCAGTCACTGTTCGGTGTCACAGTTCTTACATAACACAAAGTTACAATGTGACCTTTTATTCAAATAAAATCGTTAATGTACTTTGTCACCAAATGTAGAAAAATACTACAGTGATGTGGCATACGCTTCGTACTAGAAGGCACATTTCAGTTCCTGTTTGTTTCACTTCCAGTCACTTGTATCTCAGTAAACTGATTACATTTTTCAGTGAATGGTCGACACATTCGTGCTCCTTCCTGACAGTAGAACTACAGAAGCAAACAAAAACATTCTATTTATAAAAGAAGGTAACAAAGAATGTATGTGCCTCAGAGAGGAGGATCTAAAAATGCATCTGCATATTGGTAAATGAGCAGTGTGAGTGTGCGAGTTCATGGCCTTAACACAGTCAGATCCTCACTGCACTGTTACAACTGTTACAGTGGTTTGACTGTGCACGCGCTCCTTTCAGCCCCTCCCGCTGTGTGCATTTGTTATTTGCTGTGCTGGGAGTCTGGGTGAGTCCTCTAGCACAGCATGGCCACCCCTCTCTCTCTGACCACACACAGTTTACACACACACAAACACGTCCTCACACACGTGCACTCACAGAACCACTTAATCCCATTTCCCTAAGCAGTTCAATGTGCAACACTGAGAATCCCATCAATGTCACAGTTTGAATCACTGCAGCACAATCAACTGGCAGCTACTGAGTAGAAAACCAATGAATCTGTCAACTCCCTAGCCCGGTAAAAGGAGGGAAAAAAGCCTCTTTGTCTTAGCGCCAGCGCCCGAGGGCAGCCATCCGCCAAACAACAATAGCACTGCCATGTGGACGGAGCGCACACCCAGCATCACCTGAGAAACAAACCAATAAACACACATTATCTTTCCCCGTGGCTGTAATAATTTGTGACTGAGCTGAAGCGGAACAATAGGTGGCATTTCATTTGAGATTCTCTATAGGAGAGGCTATTATTAGACTCTTTTTGTGCAGAACTACTGAATACTTGAGGGCAAAGGGGGATCACAAAACAGCCAAGAGCGAAGAATGGTGGGTGAAAAGATATTCCAGATATAAATGGAGATGGAAGAAGTGAGAATAACATGGGGCAAAAGACATGAGGGGGGTGTTTTTTTTTTTCTTCTTTTCATCTGGTTTTGGTCTATTTGCATAATTAGTAAGGAGGCTATTGCCAGGGATGCTGGGCCTTGAAAGCTATTGGCCTGAAGGAATAATTAAGTCACTCTCTTATCCCTGGCATCTTCAGAGCACAGAAAGCCAGCGAGCGATCTAAGAGTGTGTATAGGCCAAAAGCAAGCTGGTATGTTCTGAATGGGAATGATGCTGACTTCTAAGAAAGCCTAATGCATGATTTATGTTTTGTGGCAGCCTGACAACAAGAGAACAGACTTATTCCAAGGAACTGTGTGAGACAGCACTCAGACACAATTTTAATTATTCAAGGGAGGTTTACAGAGCAAAGCTCTGCTTTGTATTCACACACGTTCACATCTGGGAACTGCCAAGTGCGGCTTCACTCGTCTACAGTTGGCTTCTGAACAGCAGCAGTGCAGCAGCTGAGAGCCGGGCGTTTGCTCTTCTAGAATATTCCACAGTATTCAAACCAGTCATGACACAAAAGCTGTTGGTGAATCACAATTTACTGTATGTTAATGCACAGAAAAGTTCATGTGGCAACAATAAACAACCTTGGGGATCCTTCTACAGGAGGATGATTCCTCCACACCATGATTCAACACAAGTTTGGAGCTGATATCAATACAAAAATGCTGCCCCAAACATTGGTCACACTCACCAACCTATGCCTTAAAGGGTTGGTTCAAATTACAGACAACAAATTCTTCTTTTAATTCCACTTCTAGTGGCATCTAGCATTGACTGTATATAAAAGTCTGGCCGTTACCATCTTCATAGCACTTCACTCCAGCTAATCCAAAAATGAGCAGTAGAGTGTGAGTGGAGCTCGCTAGGCAGCTAGCGCCCAGCCACCTGTGGTGTGACCCTCCTGCCCGTCACTTAAAGCGGCCACGCCCTTAATTCTGCATAACTTTTATCCTCAATATTATTAAAACAGGTGAGCTGTATAAACATTCAGCACCTGTACAGTTGTTACGGAAGAGGAATTAGCTGTAGAGACAAAACGTTTTTTTGTACCAGCCTGTAAACGTGTTTATTTCTACTGTAAATTTGGGCGTTTTAACATGGGAGTCTATGGGGATCAACTCCATTTTGGAGCCAGCCTCAAGTGGCCATTTGAGGAAATGCAGATGTTACCACTTCAGCCTTTGCTTCATTTCTCAGCCTCGGAGGCTGGCACTTGGTGTTGAGTCGAGAATGAAGTTTTGGGTTTTATTGTCTCTGGGATTGTTATGAGATAAATTTGATTTGTTGTGCTTAGTGCACTAAAACAGGGTAATCCACAGGGCCATGCTGTCAACAGATTTCTTAGGATTTACAGAATTTCATTTAAACAGTTTAATGAGAAAATCTTCAGCCACTAATTCACATTACTAACCCATAGGAGGGTTGTGCCATATTATGAGGAACTCTTGTAATAAGTGAGTATTGTCTCATTTTAACTGAGGAACCTATTTAGAAACGAATCTTTGAATGTTAAAAACACCTTTAAAAAGGAACGTATCAAGCAAAGAATGCCACCTTAAACCCTGAGCATGCTGACCTTTATCCTCTGAAACAAGGGTTTAATCCCTTCCCTACCCTCTCCAATCTCACTTTGACACCGAACCGCTGAGTGTTGTTCTGAAAAAGATCTTAAATATCTCAAAGTCAAAATTGGCACAGGAAAAAATGGATGAAAAATGTTTCATCAGTAACTTGATTTTAACTGATTTACGTAGATACCACACGGAGGCAGATAATCAAAAATTTTTTACATGGCAAATTGGGGTTGAAATTCCCCCTTAGGTGGTCAGGAAAAAGCTCTCTACTGGGCTAATTACATGTTAATCAGCAGAGAAATGTCTCATGTGTCTGTGGTAGTGCACATCCCTCCATAGGCCAGGCTCAGACGTTTCTGGCATCTGGTGTCACATCCTGTAGAGGTTGGGTGAAATATTGCAACAAACTGGTTCCATCTTATTTCCCATTTCATGTGAAAACAAAAACACGGGTGATGGAGGACCACAGAGTAGCAGGTTACTAACACTACATCAGGAGGCGCACACTGTTATTTGTTTTAACCCTCAGAGGACGAGCGATGCAGGCCGCCAAGACTCAGAGGGCACTTGGGTGAAGTTCCTGAAGGTGGGCCCGGCCATCTTTTGCATAATCCTTCCGTGTTTGTGTGATGATATCCTGTACATCTGCCTTGTGCTCTCACTTCTGATCCTATCCAATCATTATGAGCCCTTACCATTTGTTGAGCATGGATGAACGCAGCCACTGTGGCAGTGTGTTGGAACTTCACCTATTAACACGTCCTCTGTCGCACATAACTCTCACTTTTTTTGTTTACACTAACAGTGTCTGTTAACCAATTTGCATGAAAGGAAAAAAAAAAGAGTTCACACTCTCATATTATGTTGCATGGACTAATGAGGTACTGTAGAGCTGGTAGGAACTAATTTGAAAAACGGATTAAAAGTTGGTTTACCAGCTCTTCCAACGCTCCACTGCTTAAGTAATTCACAGTTAACTGCAGAGGACAACATCTACAAAGGTAGCTGTGTCATTTTGTGTTGCCTTTGATTTACCACAGGCAGGCTGAGCAGTTACACCATCTGCTGTACAGAAGTGTTTCTTTGACAACTGGCAACTTCACCACCCGTCTATCACTTATTCAAGTGCTACGCACATACACACAGCTAGAAATTCACTTGCTAATCTCTTGCAAATGAACTTACTTTCTAGTTTGAGCAATGACAGATAGGTAATCTAGAAAAAGAGATGTTCATAAGCATGCTAACTAACACTCATGTACACTACCAGTCAAAAGCTGGGACACACTTTTCCATTTAATTCACTGGGAAATTGTGTCCAAACTTTTTACTAGTAGTGTATAAAGACACACTTTTGGAGAACACACAAAATAAGTACAAAAAGAATCAATCACTAGCAGGGCGTCTGTAGCAACAAATTGTCAGGGAACCATTTTTCTTTTCCCGTCTCTCCCTCCCTGACATTTTCCAAGAACTAGTGAGTCTCGACAGGAACTGAGACCAGATGACACGGTTAGCCCATGCTCTAAGTTGATAAGACCTGGCAGGTCAGATCATAGAATCTAAAACAAGACCAGCAGGAAAATGTTGTAAATGTATTCTAAGACTTATCCTATTTTCTGCTACATAATACTATTCTTTTACTATGTGTGTAAATCATTAAAACAGTCACTGAGTTTCACCATATAATACTCAGGACTAATACCAGTCTTGGTGTAGGAATATCGCACAGTATCAGATTGTGATGGACCTGAGAATGCACATGCACCTCAACCAGGGTGGAAACTGCACTCAGGAGCAACTGGAAGAGCACAAAGAGTCAAAATAAAAGATATATCAGGCTTACCTATTGTGGGTGGCATCATGCCTTGTCGTGGCATCAAGTTGTCATCAAGGCCCTCGAGGCCACCATACAGGGAGTGGGAGATTCGACGCTCGTGGTCATCCAGAGAGGTGTTCATAGTTTGCTGGGGTCCCACTGGGCTCATTGGTGTCTCCTAATTGGAGATGGCAGTGGGATTACAACAAGTATATTTACTCTTTTTAGGGCTATAGTCATAACATAAAAGTCTGAAAAGGAGGCAGAAAGAACTAGCCATGCTACCATTTTTAAACAGGAATGCATGGAAACAGCCTAATACCAGTTGTCATAACAAGTATAAATTAGCATGGATTTCCAGGCTACAGGCTTTTAACAAGCTAGTGCTTTCCCATAGGGGAAGGTTAGCGGGCTAGCGCTGTGACATTTCCCTCAACCCCTGATGACATTCTCTTGTTTGCTGGACAAATTGACAATTTGCTGGCGCTGCCACTCGTAAACACACATCCACAGCATGTGAAGGTTTGTGTGTGTGTGTATGTGAGAGTGTCTTGGCCGTCACTGTTTGTCCATTGGATCGTTGACTGTATCGATTTGCTATGGCTTCTGCATTTATTGCTGAAGGTTACGACAGATCTTGCCATAAAGTTAACCATCATCGCCAGTGCAGCATAACAAGCGATAACACTATCACGCTCAAGTCAATACTGGAGCCAAATTACCCCAATCAGTGACTGTAACTAGCTAGGCTGGGATTTGATTCTGGCAGAACATCTCTGCCCAATGATCCTCTCAGTCACTAAATGGTTGAGGTGCTGTAATAACTACTGCCATATGGATTTTGACATAAACAAACAAGTCCAGTTTATAGGAGAATACATATGCGGGTATATTAGGAGCCTGGCAGATGTGACAAGTGCAATGGGGAGGATTTCAGACTAGAGGGCTGCTTGATCAGACAAGAAAAAATTTCACTTAATGAACAACTACAAATGAGCTTTTTTCTGTGGTAGAAGATTCATAACATAGATAAAAAATATCTATACCACAGTGCATCTAAAAAAAAAAAAATAATAAGGATTTTTAGCAAGAATGTCCTTAAGGAACAAAATGGTGATGGCGGTGCATTCACATGCAAGCAGCATGTAAATGTTGTAGGAGGATATGAATTTATAAGATGATCTGCCATAGCTACTGTACCAGATGTGTGGATGACATTTAGACCATCAGAGCCTGTTTACAAAAGGCAAGCAACAGAATGAAACTCAGATCATCCAGACTGACAAACTAGGGTGTAATCTCCACAAGAGGTCATGAAGACAAATCAGCAGCAGAAACACCTTATGTGACGCTGGGACTTAAACAGGCTGTGTACATGTGAGTGATCAGCTGTAGGTCTATATGACACAAGCGGGGCCCAGTATGGCCAAACTCTGGCACATGCTGACCAGCTGCGAGCCCCACGCACAGCTGATGTGTTCACTGTTGCTGGTTGACATGTAAATCTACATGAAGCAGGAGGAGCTCAGTGAACAATCAGCATGTTTTGGAGTCAGTTTAAAACCTTTCTGTTTTTCAGATTTTGGGTGGGATGTGCCCCCCGGTCCCTCATGGAGATCACGCCCTAGTTATGGCTATAGCATTCACCCTGCAACAAACTACTAACTCACACTCCTGTTCTGCAGCAGCAGAGAATAAAGTCAGTCTAACATTTGATCGCGTGGGCAATTACAGTTACTGAAGGAAAAGTGTTTGCATGACCCTCAAAAGGACCCACAACATAGCCGTGTGCATTACACCTCTGTTCAGTAGAGAACAACAGTACAACTCTTTGCTCATCAAACAACAGAAATGTTACTGACTACAATGGAGGTAATGAATCTAGTACCATACAAAACAAAACTTCTTATTTCGTGATTCTATTCTGGATTTCTTGCACAGGTGGAAAAAAAAAAATCAAGACATTTACTGGATAAATGAGATGGCCTGAATCAGAGCTAGCAGTTCAAAAAACTCCACACATAAACAACAAGTCTTCCACAGAAACTAACTAAATGTAAAAGGTCACCACACGGTGCTGTGACTGTTGGCATGCAGCTGCTCTTGACTTTAAATGAGATAGTTAATGAATTGGTCGGCTCAGGGGCTGAGGTGAAAAGACTCAGTAATAGCTGAGGGGACTCGCCATGCTGGGGGCGCACTGAGAAATCACACTGCAGCTCACTGCATATTCAGGCTGATAATTGAGCTCTGGGAAGGTCTCGATCCCGTCGGGAGCCGATGGTGATGAGGAAGTCAGCTGCTCCGGGTTCACTATGTTTCTATGGGGATGGAAGGCGGGAGCGTTCGGGCTTGTGATTTATGCAATGGCAAACATGCACAACTGATCTGAGATTGGTTGTCAAGGGATGGAGACATGGGGAGGAAAGTAAACACAGGATTATTTGAGCCCATATGTCAGTAAATGTCAAAACGAGCCACAGCTTTCATCCTATAGTAATTACACATTATTTGACTCTGACTGGCAGTTGATGGACATCTGGTTATGAGGTATTAACAATCTATAGGGACAAGCTAAATCAGCTCTGAGCTGTCTCTTTGAGTGAGAGTGTATTAAATTGTTGTTTTCCTCTACTCTGAGTGTCTTGGACACTACTTCTTATAAATAGCCAGGCAGTTGGATGACCTGAGGCATGCCTCCAGCTCTGCATGTGAAGCATGGACTGACAAAACTCCCAGTGCTCAAATGTTATTCATCCACCATAGTCGCTGTGAAGTCACTGTGCCTTGACATGCCTGCCGTACACACACGCATGCACACACAGGGTATCTGTTTGCAAACTCACACAGAAAGATCCTTGAAAATATCATGCATAAACTCGTTGTATAAAGGCACAAACTATACGCTACATACACATGAACAGAAGCAGACACAATGATGTGCGCATGCATGCACACACACACACACACACACACACACACACACACACACAAACACAAAACACACCTCCAGGCTTAGCCTCTGCTTTCAATTACCAGATGGACCGAGGGGGAAATCAAAACTTTGACACACCAGGTTGAGAAAGCAGAGCAGGGAAGCCAGGCTGTGCCAGAGGTGTACACTTGCACACAGACGTGTGCCTGCTTACACACAGACACACAGCAGCGGTGCACACAGACTCAGCCTTTCAAGCGACAGGCCAAGGTGTACAGAAAATGTAAAAACATGACATTGAAGGGAGGAAAAATGAGCAGCTCAATTCACAGACATGTTTTTCTCTCCGGCTGCCTCAAGGGAGGTGACCATGTGTGGGAGGGGTGGGCGAACCACTAGGACCCGACTACTTCCTTTTATTTCATGAAACAATTCATTGTTGCTCATAAGGGTATTTCCCAGCAGTTTGCTTTTGGTGGTGTCGTATATTTATCACAGAGAGCATCTGACTGAAACGGTGCCTAATGACTCCATGTCCACATAGATGTCTTTATTTAAGACACCAGTGTCTGATCAGTTCACTTTTTTGGGCAAACTATAGTTACAACCAGTTTGATCTTCTATACAGTCACAAATAACCCGAATCATGAACATTTGATCACTGGTTATTAAATTAAGGATGTTGCATTTGCATTAGCAACACAAATAGATTATGTTTATGATATGCTACCTAGCCTGCAAAAGGTCATCGGTGCTCAGCCCCAGTAAATTAAAGGATGAATCATTATGTTGACATGTGAGGTAGTAATTCCATGCTGCCCTTATTTAAGACAAAGCAGTGAAAACCCTCAAAGACAGTTTAGGTTTGATGAAAGTAAAACATGACACTGATATATTTCAGTTGTCACTAGAACCAACATTTTGACAAACAATGAAGTCCACTGAGGCCAAGAAACATGAGCAGCTCTGCAAATAGCAGAGCATAAAGCCCTGCAAATTCTTTAATAGTCTTAATATTCGGTAATGTGTGTTTTCACTTCTAAGTGGTTCACGCAATATATTTAAACTCAGGAATTACTTAAAACCCACTTGACCATTTGTGTTGCCTTGTAGACGAAGGATGCTGCTGCATCTAAAGGTCTCAGCAATGAACGCTGCAAGTACAATGCTATCACAATAAAATTTATGGCTATAAAAGAGCAAAATTAATCTAGGTTTGTAAACCCATGTATTACCGTGTTTATAAATCAGACTAATGTCAATTATATTTGATTCACAGTAGTCAAATACTGAGCCTGAACTTTGCCTTAGACATACTGTAGATCCAAATCTTTATACACCTGTAAACTTAGATGAACATAACTGGCATGGTACACATCCACACATCATTGAAATTCAACTGGCTCCTGACCTCATTTCTTTTGGCCACTCGTCTGGCCACAATGAGCTGGATCATCCCCCGTTTGTTGCCTTCTGTTGACATAGACTTGCGTAGCGTCTCCATGGCATCTTGGTTGGTTTTGCCCAACAGCGACTCCCCGTTGACAGCAATCAACTGGTCGTTGACTCGAAGTCGCCTGTCCTGTTGGTGGATAAGAAATGACGCATATAAAAGTGCATCTTTTGATGTTTAACCTCCTGGTAGCCTAGCTTAAAACCTAGAGATTGTACCTTTACAACTAACTAGCAGTATATGCTGTGCTGATACATAAAAAGCATTCTTATCTCTCACTTAACAATAACCTTTATCTAATCAGGCTAAACAGACTCTCTCTAACAGTGCATCTTGTTTCTGGTTGTGATCTCATCTCTGAGAGAAACGTGCGCTTCTACATCCATTATCATGTGCAGTCAACACGAGCTTATATGGAAAGACAATGAAGCTGAAGGACTAGTGAAACTGACTGCAGCACTACAGACAGTATATAAAATAGGGCACTTTGTGCACATAGATTTTTATCACAGATGAAGCTTTTCTTCATAGCTGCAGAAGAACAGAAAGTAATTTTACTCCATATTTCTTTTTAAGAGCTTAAACCACTGGAGGTCTAGAAAACATGACTTTCAGCCAGTGTTAAGTTGCTTTTGAAGGCCTGACATTTGTAAAATCATATTTAAGACCTGAAGCTGTCCAAAGGCAAATTCCATAAAGATTCATTGTATTCTAAAGGTACTGCTGCTGCCATTCTGGATCTGATTAAAAGACTCTAATCTACAGAAAACATAGATTCCTGAAATGTACTAGTGTAGCTAACAGCCTTCATTACAATCTTAATGATCCCAATGGACAGGATCTTGTTTATTAAACAGAAAAAATGTTTTCATAGAGATGCTTCAGATGCTTTTACATTCCCATTCAAGCCCTGTACTACTGACATTAGAGGACACTGCACCTTGAAGGCTGCTCCTCCATTGATGATAGATTTGACAAAGATACCCAGGTCAGCATGGTTCTCCTTGGACCGGTTGCCTTTGACGCTAACACCCAGACCTGCTTAACCCGAGTCACTGAGGGGGATCTCAAAGGTCAGGAACTCTCTGGTCCCATCTGGAGTCAGGACCAACTCGTCCTCCTCTGTCTTCTGTTGGTGAGAGAACGGAGAGAGAGTCAGACCCGAGATGCTTGATATTTTACCATAAAACATACCTACCAAGAGGATAATCCCTAACCCAAATGACAACATTAACAAAGCTGAACACACTGATATGTACAGAGCCCATAAGGACACAACTCACATTTATATACAGTTAAATGCTCATACACCTTAATGCATTTGTAATTGCACAAAGCAATACCATTCCTTCATTTGTTCCAGTCTAGAGCAGTAAAACAAATGGCCCTTCAGCCTTGCAATGCTTTCACCATGTTCCTGCGGGTTAGCCAAGGGCCAAAATTAAAAGGACATTCATTTGGCCACTTGAGGTTAATGAAAAGTGCCTGCATATAAATTGCAGCTGGGCAGATAGCACAGAGGTAAATCAGAGTGCAAGCTCATTAGCTACATCAGATATGTTAGGAGCACTGGTCTGTTTAACAATAAGTGTTAAATCAGGTACTTAGTATAAGCAGGAAAAGACCGTGCTACACAATCGAGGCACACTGGTCTGGTTCGTTCCTACTCAAGCATGTATGTGGTTCTTTAGTCCAAGACAAAGCAAGGAAGGGTGATGAAGACTGAGATTGTAAAGATCAAAAACAAGAATTAATAAGAAAGCTCCTAATCTTCATATAAACAGATGCTTGTTTGTTTCTGATGTGTAGCGTGAAGCTAGTTTTCATTAAAACCGAACTGCAGCAGTTGTTTTTCCACATTGCTCTGCTGATCAGAAATAAAACAACAGTAGCCTGTTTCAGGCCTGGCATTCAGAAGGAATGCATTAATGCTGCAATCACTTGGTATAAAGATATTAAAACACTGATATACCATAATGATGTTCTTGCCTAACTAAACACTACTGGGTGCATCATCATATTTTTAAGTGCACTGCGATTAATGTTCTTGTCTGGTGTTTGTACGGGCAAGTACAGAAAATCATATTCACATATTTTACTCCAAAAGAAGGAACTATTTTTCTCGTACTGCTGCTGACTTGTTTATAAGTAGGACTCAAACAGAAGCACGGTCGCCACCTAATGAACAAAGCTAACACGTCATGCACCTGGCTTGTGATGCCAAGTGCATCAAACAGGCGGTAAACTTCCCAGTAACCCCACATGAACACAGCAGCCTAATTGACATGCTGAGTGCTCTCTCCCCTCCCCCTCCACAACAGGTGCTTCTCTCACCCTTTATCTATATTCATTTTCTCTCTCTCTTCCAGCTCAACAATAAAAAGCTATTCTCTCCTGCTTGTTATTTGACAGCTGTCCTCTGAATAGATGGCTGCGTGCACACTCGCGCCTGGCAATTATTGTGCACGCCTAATGAATTCAATCATCGGGCTCGGTGTCAGCATGTCATTAGCTCCCTTTGTTTGCTGGGAGAGAGGTGGAATTGCTCTGGGTGGAACGCAGGAGAGAGAAAGAGGGATGGATGGAGAGGCAAAGTGGAGGAGGATGAGGACGGCACAACAAGGATGCATGGAGAAAGAAGGAAAGGAAAGAGAGGGAGGGAGGGAAGGAAGGAGATAGATAAAAACCAAGCAAGCATGAACTGTCACTGTCGGGGTGGGGGGGGTGCAGGGTCCTGCACATTTCAGGAAGACAAATACATACCCAGAATAAACTGCAGACCAAATTAAAAACAAAGCAGGAAAAACCCGCCAATCTGATGCCAGACACAACTTATGGGACGTACTGAGCGAATAACACATCAGGCAACAGGAATTTAATTACTCTAGCACCTGAAGTTCAACTCATTATGCCTGAAATTTTATTACTAATTAAAACAAATTTAAAAAGTCACTGAATCCTCTTAATCCGCAAATGGTCAGAATGAGGAAATAAAAAATAAGAAATTAATTGGTACAACTCAAAACAAAACTGATCAATAAAGCAAACATGTCAATTCAGGGGTAGTATATGACACCTATTAATGGATATGTAGCATGTCAAGAGAATAACATCATTAATATTGGAGAAAAGGAATCCTTTTACATCTAGATTATAATTTGAAATCCTATTAAGTTGCAAACTTTTTAAAACCTTTACAGGAAGTTGTTAACCCTTAGCATTGTTGCAGAGCTATAGCAACACAAACTATTTACGCTCCATCGGTAAATATGATCAGTTAAACTGCTTAGCGTTATCACATCATAACATGACTTGGCGTCCACTATTCAGAGCTGTGAACCAGCTTGTTACACATTAGCTCAAGCAGCTAACGTTCATAGCTAACAACTGCATCATTAGCAGCATCAGTAAAATATCAAAATTAGGTCGGACGTGATGTAGTCTGTTATTACTACAGCGGTGAGGAACTGTGCCCAATTACGGTAATGTCAAGTAGTATATGTCCTGAGAGACTACAGGCCAACTAGTTTGCTTTTAATTTGTCCGTCCTCTGGAAGCCCAGTGGGATTCAAACAAGCCACTATATCATGTTATTGGATTTTCTTTTTTAATACAGGCCTGGAAATTAATTTAGGGGAAATAATTAATATCAGGCAGCAAATCCATATTAAAATATTTTCCTCAATTTACTCAGCTCTATTTTGTGATATAGTTTATTTAAGATTAAATGAGAGCAGGGAGAGAGAGGATTAAAATAAAAGACCAGACAGGCAGAAGAGGGAGGAAAGAAAGCAAAACATAAAACAAATTGAGCGAGAGGAGTGACGGGCTCCAGAGGAGGGACGGAGGCAAACAGAGCGAGGGTGAAAAGGCGAGGAGGTGAAAAGAAAAGGGTGAAAAGAATGAGAGCGCGAGCGTGACAATGACAGACAGAGTGAGCGAGGGAGTATGAATCAAAGGCCGGCAGAGGGATGAATCCATGTGGAACACAAAAGGAGACTCTGCCACCTCTCTCACTGTACATCTGAATCTCTCTCTCATCCTTTCCACCTTCTTTCACCTGTCTCTCTACACTACCTTCTTACGCTTTCTTAAACCATCCCTCTGTGCTTGTTCCTTTTTTCTGTGCTGCCTACACTCCCTAACCCTCACTCTCATCTTCTCCTTCCATTTCTCTCTTCTTCTCCTTCCCATTTGTTTTTATAGACTATGCCTATTTGAAGACAATTTTCTCTGTTTTCCAATTTAGCCAGACAGTATAGATGTGGTCTCACTTAACATTTTCCTTTCTTGCTCTCTCACTTTATTTTTCATTGTCCCCATTTCCTTTGGGTCATTTGCCTTCCAACACTGAACCTGTGCTCTTTTGCACAGTCATGCACGTCTCTGTATTCTACCACGAGTCCACCTTTAGCATTAAGAGAAATCAAACTCGCCCTCTCTTCCAATTCCTTCTTCTTCCTATTCTCACTCACACATCTGTCCACTGTAGAGCCTCAGATTAGTGAGTCAGCAGCGAGCACAACCCTGGCCAAACAAGCCTGACGATTTTATGTAGTTGTGAGGGTTTTTATAAAGGGTGGACGAAGAGAGGGAGAGGGAGGAGGTGAGAAGCAGGCAGTGAACAATGTAATTGGTCGAGGGGTGTCAGGGAGCATTGCTAGTTGCCGACTGTAGCACAGTTATCTCGCCCCATTCTTTCCATCACTCCCATTCTCCCTCTCTCCTTCTATGCCTGCCTCTTCATTCTCCGTCTCTTCCTTGCCATCTACATGATATACACAAAGCTATGTGGACATACCTACATACCTCTGGTCCAAAGCCATTTGTCATATTTTGGTCTACCCACCCTTGTACTCTCTGCCCTTTCTCTCACTCTTTCTCATGCATCTTGCTGTAGCGCCATGCTGATAGAGCATGAATATCAAATACCTGTGTGATCAATGGAGCTGAGGCTGACACAGCATGGAGGAATGCAGAAAGCTGGTGTTTGTACATTTGTATGAGTTGGAGTGAGCGAGTAACAGAAAAAAGAAAGAGAGAGGTCTGTACTGTATGCATCTATAAATGAATGTGTCAGTAAAAACACATAAAGCTGCATGTGTCCTCAGAAAATGTCATTATGTACAGTACTGTGTTTACACTTGCGCACACCCCTTCAACTGCCAACACACAACGGTGAGACATGATGACTACACTGTAGCACGTAGAGGAAGAGTCGACTGGTATGCGCGCACATACTCACACATGCAGTCACGCCTCTCACTTGATGGCCAAACTAATCAGCTGCCCTCTTTCTAGTTGTCCCTCTCTCCCGGACAGTTGAGCACGATGCAGCTCGCTCTTCAGAGCTCCATGACACACTAGAAACCAGTTATGACCCCATTCAACCCTGAGCAATTATACCAGCAGCTGCTCTATGTCACTTCAACGTATGTGTGCACTGGTGTCCCAGTATACTTACATCCAAATGTCTAGAGGTGTATATGTTATGTATGTATGTGTATGGTGGTGTATGTTCTGTGTTTGTGTGAAGTTTGTCATCTGGCTCACACGTTTTTGGGTTTTGCACATAAAAGCCTCAGTATTGTCCATGTAACTTTATCATATGTGTGTGTGTGTGTGTGTGTCTGCACCAGGTGGCAGCTTGAAACATCACTTTAATTAAGCTGTTGTGTGGTAGAGCGGCCTCCTCTGATTGACTCATATATGTCACCAGCAGGCTGCTACACAACACAGACGCAGCGTCGAGCCTGTTGCCACAGAGCTCCAACTATTAATCACTGCAGGTATCCTGTTGTGCTAATAATGACATAAAGTTATGCAACTCCTGAAATTATTCCCTGTCGTATTAAAAACTGTGCTATAAAGCACCTAAGTAGCAGTACTACAGTATACAAGTTAACAGCACTATATATACAATTACAAATAGTACTAGCTATGCAGTTTTATATGATACATTTTGACCAACAGTTTAATGATGTAGCTAGTTGAGATGGGCTAATTTTAACTCATTTAAATAGCACTGGATGGTTTAATCTATAACAACATTGTACATAATATTGCTCTGTATGTAAACAACAATGCCCACTGTAATGGCAGTGTGTGGCTCTTAAATCTAGTGCACAG